ACCCCCACCCCACCTCACCTCTCACTACTCACCCTTCCCTGCCTCTCCCCAACACCCTCTCCCCTCTCCACCTCCATCCCCACCCCCTCCCCGCCCACTCCACCCCTCCCACACAGCCATGGTGTCTGCCCTAGACGATGCGGTGGGCGCCGTCTACGATGCTCTCAAGACCTCCGGAATGCTCCAGAACTCTGTCATAGTGTTCACCACCGACAACGGGGGGCCCGCTAACGGCTTTGACAAAAACGCTGCCAGCAACTTCCCCCTCAGGTAACCTACAACAATTTCCCCTTCAACAATTTCCCCTTGAACAATTTCCCCCTCACTTAGGTAACCTACAACAATTTCCCCCTCAACAATTTCCCCCTCACTCAAGTAAACTACAACAACTCCCCCCTCACTCCCTCCGGTAACCTACGGCAATTTCCTTTCTTAGGTAACCTACAAGAATCCCCCCCCCCTTGCCCCCTTCCCTTAGGTAACCTACAACAATTTCCCATCTCACTCCTGGTCTTTTAAAAGAAACTGAACAAGGGTCCAAAAACTTAACCTTCAATTTTCCCAAAACAGCATTTTTCAGGATAGTCCCCTTGTGCTTAATTAAAAGAGACCAATTATATATTATGTACCTCCCCAGAGGTGTGAAGGCCACACTGTGGGAGGGCGGGGTGCGGGGTGTGGGTCTCCTGCACAGCCCACTCCTGCACACTCAGGGCTATGTCTCCGAGCAGATGCTCCACGTCTGTGATTGGCTACCCACACTGTACGCGGCGGCCGGGGGAGACCCCTCCACCCTACACAACCTGGACGGTTTCAACGCCTGGGACATGCTGAGTCGAAATTCCAGCGGGGTTCGAACCGAGATGCTTCACAATATCGACCCTATCGGAGACTTTGCCGGTGTGCGTGTCGGTGACTACAAGCTTTTGATCGGTGACGTTGGCGTGAATTGGGGCGGATGGTACCCTCCTTATCAGCTCGCTGGTGATGAGATCACGCTCAACTATTTGAACTTCACAGACGATCTCACGGAACGCGTCACACAAGATAGTCGCAGACGAGAGCTGGAGCAGAAATATCGCGAGTATTGGGGGCCGGAGATTTTGGCGAGACTTGAAGATTTGCACTCGTCTGGGAGGAAGAAAGGTGCAGAGCTGGTGTTCCACTCGCAGATATCTTTGGGCCAGGTGTTCAGCGCGAGCAAGGACTGGGTCCGGGGCACGCCCGTGCGCATCGAGTGTGGTGTGAAACCGGCAAACGCCAGCACCAACTGTGACCCCCGCAAGTCGCCATGTTTGTTCCACATCCCGACTGACCCGTGCGAGTACAACAACATTGCTGAGAGCCACACTGAAGTGGTGAGTACATGTGGGTCTACCTCACTCTATGTGTAACCTCACTGAAATGTGAGTACTAACTCTAGATTATGTGAATACACTGAAGTAGTGAGTACTAACTCTAGATTATGTGACTACACTGAAGTAGTGAGTACTAACTCTAGATTATGTGAATACACTGAAGTAGTGAGTACTAACTCTAGATTATGTGACTACACTGAAGTAGTGAGTACTAACTCTAGATTATGTGAATACACTGAAGTAGTGAGTAC